CTAATTAGTTCCACAGTAAATGTCTTGGCTTCTCCACATGCAGGGCTATTAGGCTGGAGTAAACTAATAAACTCTGCATCAGGGTAGAACTTGTAAATACAAGTACTATCCTGCTGTAGAGAGTTTTACTCTGCAGCACAGCATGTGTAGATGGGGATGCGGCTGGCTGGGGTACGAGGGCACTTCAGTGTGGGGGCTGCCTATCAGCTAATCCCTCACTGGAGCACCCGTGTGCCCCAGTCAGCCCCTCTACAGCATGCTGAACCAGATCAGAGCAGCCCTGGGCTGCTGGGCTGACCCCCTGGACTCCCTGCCAGTTGGGGCTTCTCCGATCTGTCTCAATGTACTGTGGTTCCAGGTGCATGTGTAAACATGGCACTTGGAAGCAATATGAACTCCAGAATGATATGCACCAGAGTTTATTGCTTTGCATTTATATGCACATATAGATGCGCCCAGTGACTCTTAAATCTTGGGGTTATTCATTTGCTGCATATTTATTTGCAAAGCCCATGTGATGGAAATACTTTGATGGAAAAATTCCTGAAAAGGAAGCTGTATAAATGTTGCAGTGTATAAAGTAAATTGCCTTCATCTGTGGAACAACTTGTGGTTTTAAATGGATTTTATTTCTGCCCTGATCTTCAGTCTTATCCTTGCATCAGAAAAGAAACACTCAGTGCATGTTATAGACTGATTACATTACTATTTTTTATGCTTTAGAAATGAGATTCTAGTGGAGAGTGTATCTGTGGGAGTCTATCAAAAAAGAATTGATAAGTAACCTCTTATTTAGAAAAGCACCAGTCAAGGCCATTGCCCTATAATCATTAATGTTTGTCTTTATAAAGTTCAAAATCTGCCAGAAAAAGGAGATCCCATAATTGACTTTCCTTCTCCTCCCTTGACTTAGGTGCTTCTGTTAAGAAAACAAAGGAAAATGAGGAGTCTTGTGTTTTTTTTTTTCCCCTCCAGAGTATGAAAAAAGTATTTTCAATACTGTTTAGATCTATAGAGTTACTTGGGGTGGGCAAGTGGGCCACCAGTCCTGGGTTCCAATTTAGTGGGTGGGTCAGAACTATGTTCCTACCCTGCCCCCCTTCCTACCCTCAATTTCTAGTGGTTTACCAAGGGTGCAAGCCCCGTGCATTAAATCTGTGGTACTTATATACTAATTCCCAGTGTAGTTCAGGAAAACAAAGTACAAGATTCTTGCAGTCCTGACAGGTACTATGTACCCTGTCCAACTCGAGACCTTTGTTTACTAGAAACTGCTTAGTGAAGACAATGATGCAAATAATGGAACTTTTCAGATGCATATCATGTTACAGAAGGAAGATTTCTTTCTTATTATGATCTTCCTTTTATGGTTTGAAATAAGGACTCAGTAGGTAGAATTTTGAATGCATTGTAGAATAAATCTAACCTTAATATGGATTGAATGAGGTTCTTCATTGCCTGTACAGTCTGACTTTTTGATTCTGGTAGTTCTCAGAAAGCATGTATATATCATGAATTCATAACATACGTTGGTATGTAGAGCTGGTTGGAACAAAATATTTTTTAAAGAAAATTATCATAATTTTCAGTAAAACATTTAGTCAACTTTCCACATTTTTAAGAACTCTGTGATTTTGTTGGAAAATGTGTTTTAAATCTGAATTTCAGTAATGGAAATAATGTTGATTGGTTCTGTTCATATCATTGGAAGCTCCTTATCAACACAAAACCAATATGGGGAAAGCAAGTAGTGTGCAAGGATACGTTAGAAGTACGCTAACAGAGTTCTGTGGGAAGCATTATGCCTGTCTCTAGCCAACGTACTTAACTCTCTTTTTTCAGTCCTATGTACTGTGTACATATAAAATTCACAATTTTTGTTATGATGATTATTTCTAATGCTGTACATCTTGCAGTGTCTGGATATGATTCTTTCTAACTGCAAATTCTTTAGCTAAAGTTAAATTAAATTAATATTTTTCATACAGTGCTCTGAGCAGAGAGCTGTCCAAACAGTGGCCCACTGGCTACTTGTGGCCCATGAGGGGTTAATTTATGGTCTGCGCCTCCCTCCCGTCCCCCCCACCCCCCCATTTGCACCTAGCTGCTTCTCCCACTTCGGCTGCAGCAGCAGCTAGGGGCTCTGGCCTTCCCAGTTGGTTTCTGCTTCTTGTATCTTCCCTAAGGCTCATGTGGTGTGGTGCTGCAGGTGCCTGCAGTCAGTGAGCTGGGGTTACTCTTGTGTGGTGCAGTGGTGTAAGAAGTCATGTGTGCATGCAGTGCAGTGGGGGCAGGGAGGTGCCTGTGTGGTTGCAGCCTGGGGGTACTTGGCTTGCACTATTGCAGTCCACATGTCATGAAGCCCCAGTGGTGCAGCCTGGATGAGATACAGCCGCCTGCCATTTAGTCAGCCTTGATCTGAGCAAATCTGTCCTGGAGAATTATATATTTGTAGTGATTAACAGATACTTTGACTGAATTGAAACTGGTAGTAACTAGAAGGTCTGCAGAGGTGGTTTATTGGGTTATTGCTGGGACAAACCTAAATGTAATGATCCAGATGCCAGTAAAATGGAATGCCAAAGGTAGAAGAACATTGCTTTATAAAAAATGGATTTTTATTTCTCAAGTTTTTGAGACTAGGAATAGAAAATATTTTCAAATGTAATAGATTTGGGACATGGCAACATTGATTTTCTTCCCAAACTATAAATGTACTGCTGAATTGTTAATCTGAATATTGAGGTATGGAAGTCTCAAGGATCTGCAAAAGGTGACATTTCTTGAGTTTCAGCAGTGTGGTGCAACAGGATTAGACTGGCAGTTCTTTTGCAAGGAATTTTAGGGTCTCACACTAGCTACAGGTAATTTGTGCTTACAGTTAGGAAGATTTGTTGCATTTTTATGAGAAGAGATTTGAAAGAACAGGCTATTAATGCTGTTTTACAGAAGAGGAATTGTTTGCCAAACTAAGGTAGATTCTAATTAAAACACAAGTAGGGGAGTATGTTTTAAGTGAGTATAACAGAGCAGTGAGAGTGAGGAATTCTGGGTTCTAGATAGCTCTGTTAATGATTATATCTATTTGTCTTTGGGTAATTCCTACTGTGCTTCACTTAACTCATCTGTAAAATGACAAATATCTCACCTCCTATTAATTGTAATAGGAGGTTTTACTAGTAGTGTTTATAAATCTAGGAAAAGCAGGTTAATATAACTCTGAAACTCTGGTATATAAACTGACAGTTGGAAATGGTTTTGTGGTGCATTATTTGCAGGGATGCCCTTTCTGTTTTTAAATACCCTTTTTCTACTCTTTGGAAGAAAAAAAAAAGCAGCAGCCACTGGATTGTCAATTGTTATACAGAAACCAAGTAGTAAATTCAGTAAAAATTCTGAGATCACATTTTCTAGATGAGATGCATTATGTACGAGAAACAAAATTTTGCAACGCTAAGGGCAAAGACAGAAGTTACATTTTTTGTGTGACCGGGCCTCTGAAAGCATTCTAAAGCCCTGCTGTGATATGCGTGTGTGTTTAGCCCATCCCTGCCCCTGGGGCTGTCAGCAGGGAGGGAGGGGGGAGGAAGGTGGGGGAAGCCAACGGCAGTGTGCTGTCACCTAGGTTTTGCCCAATATGAGCTGGAGGGGTTGTAGTTTGGAGCCCCACTGCCTCTCGGGCCACCCCTCCAACCCTTCCCATGGCTGGGGAGCTGGGGGGATTCAGGCCAGGCTTGCAAGGTAGGATTTCTGATCCACTCCTGCCCTCTAGTTCAGGCCAGGCAAACCGGCAGCTTGTGCTGCTCCTTTTCCTGTTTCTGCTTTGCTTGACCTGAGCTGGAGGGGGAGTGGATTGGAGCCCCCTTACCTCATGGGTCCGGCTCAGCTCTTCCTCAGCTAGAGGGGCCTGGGGAGGACAAACTATGAGGCAGGGGGCTTTGATCCACCCACTCCCCTCCAGCTTAGACTGGGCAAAGCCCAGTCGGCAGTACGTTGCTTTTGGCTTCCCCTTCCCTGGATCTGAGAGGGTGGGGGCAGGGCTGGGGAGAAAGGCAGTATAGGTAGGCTCAATCCTGCTGGCCAGGAGAGCTAGTACAGGCAGGCTTAATCATCCCTGCAACCAACAGGCAAATGTCTGTTGGGCTGGGGGAAGGGGAGGGGGGGCGATGCTCTAACTCATGGTGCTTTATGTAAAGTGCTATGATTTAGAGATGGGTCCTGAATGCCTGTCTATGCTCTAAATTATTTAATTCAGGACTTAGATATGTTGGTGATGAGTGACCCGTGTATACCACAAATAACTTAGAAAGTGTTTGTGAACAGAGAGGAAGCAGAAAAGACAAAAAAAGAGGAAGAAGTACTAATATTATCTAGGAATACCTAAAACTTTTTTTGTTTCCTTTTTAAATAGAGTTAAAGAGCATGCCTAAGTCAGTTTTTTTAGAACCCATGTAGTCCCTAATTGTATTAAGCTGAGTGAAGCAACAGATAGCTGTCATGCTTTGGCCTTTGTTCTTTCCATAACCTAGCTGTATGATAGTGCTAGAAAACAGTCACAAAAACCACAAGGACCTATAATAGATGTGTGTGATCTAGGGAAGTTAGGGGCAAATAGGCCTTTGGGTGGCGATACATAAGATGAATCAGGTAGGGTGAAGCAGCCATGAATGGAATCTGAACATCTAGAGGGATTACGGCATTTAAAAATAATTTGGACCTCAGGAGAGGTCCTTGCATAGCTCTCTGTTGAATATATATACTTTATGCCGCATCTGCAGAAGAAATGTATCTGTTGATGCCATAGTGTGAGAGTCTTAGTTCTTTACATCCTGCTTTTTAGCTCTGGAAGTCTATTTCCAGTTTGTCAGTCAAGATGGCAGCCATTCCCTGTATTCAGAACATTGGAAAGCCCATCTATAGCATGTATAAAGATTAATGAGGAGAATCTTGTATCAAGACAAAAACCAACCAACCTGTTTTTTCCTGTCCTTTTCCTCAAGGATCCCGCCTTCGTCAAGAGGACTTTCCACCCCGGATTGTTGAGCATCCTTCAGATGTGATAGTCTCTAAAGGAGAGCCAACAACTCTGAACTGTAAGGCTGAAGGAAGACCAACTCCCACAATTGAGTGGTACAAAGATGGAGAGCGAGTGGAGACTGACAAAGATGACCCGCGCTCTCACCGTATGCTGCTGCCCAGCGGATCTTTATTTTTCTTACGCATTGTACATGGACGCAGGAGTAAACCAGATGAAGGAAGTTATGTTTGTGTAGCAAGGAACTATCTTGGTGAAGCTGTGAGTCGCAATGCATCTCTGGAAGTGGCATGTAAGTAAATCAGAGATTTACACAATCTAAAACTTTATAATTGTTTTGATGCTAGTGCATAGCTCTCATATACAGTGCCAGGCCAGCAGATAACTAATGTAGGTAGGCATGATATTTTACTTTTAACTATCACTCTTAGTCAAATATTTTTCCTACACATCTATTCAGAACAGTGACCATATGTGATTTATATTGACGTACTGTTCCATCCTTATGATTATATGTTTAATCATGATTGAATGTAGCTTAGACAAAGCCTTATTCTTCCTTTTAAGGGGCAATCTAATTTTGAAACTGTTGGTAAAGTTAGTTATATTGAAGCCTATGTGTAAAGAATTCTATAATTTAATGTAAAATGCACTGTCTGTTTCTCTTTATTAAGTCATCTATTACTTTATTCAGAAGCAGTCAGCTTCTGGGTCACACACATGCTGTGTACTGTTGGAAGCCTCAGTACCTTCAGCATGCTCTTTTATCATAAACTTAATACAGATCTCATTCATTTTGTCTGGCATGCGAAAATTGTTCGCCATTTCTCAAAATATCCGGAACAGCCGTGTTCCTATTGATTCTCGTTGTCTAAGAGTGAAATCATCACAGGTCTTTCAGAGACCACCAAACATGCATGATCTGCTTCCAGTAGTGCATACTGGAGTCATTTTATTTACATGTCAAATTAGCCTGACTCACATGAAATACAAAGTTGTTGCATATTGATTGTCCATAACTACCATATTTACTTGAATCCAAGACAAGGTTTTTTTTCCCCATTCAGTGTTGCGGGTTGTATTAGAATTGAGTGCATGCTGGTAGGGGGAGGGCGGGGCGGCGGCAGGCAGGCAGCTACTTTGGCTGTGATCCCACACCGAAGACAGAGATGGAGCTGGAGCCAGTGCCAGGGCCAGGGCTGGAGTTGGAGCTGTTGCCCCCCTCCCCATAGCCTCTGCCCCCTTTCACTTCTGCCACCCCCTCACTCTGCCTCTATCCTGGTCCCAGGGCTGAGGCTGGAGTCACAACAACCACTGTTACTTGGCTGGGTGGAGAATGGATGCTCCATGCCCCAGGATTGGAGCTCCATGTGTTCCTTGCTCCAGGCTGGACTGTAACCAGAGCCAGAGCTGAGAGTAAGTGGTGGTAGAGGGAACCTAGTGGGGGATGCAGACACTGTGGGAGGGAGACAGGTGCCAGTGGGCTCAGTCACTTTGGGGGGCAGGGAAGGTGCTAAGGGGGAAAGGTGCCAGGGACAAGGAGGATAGGCAGCAGGGGGCAAGGAGTGGAGTTTAGATCATTTGACTTCTACTGCCTGTCACCTGCTATGGGTTACCTGGGTTGCCTCCCTGCTCCTGATTTCCCCACTGCAGCAGTAGGGAGACACACAAATTTTAAGATGACCCACCAATAATTAGATACTATACATGGAATATTATAACAATTTAAATGGTGTATAGAATCTAATAATTGTGGGTCATCTTAAATTCAAAATCATCTTGGATTCATGTTAATACAGTAACTGTGTGGGTTGGTAAAGGAGATGGAGAAAAGGAAAATACATTTTAGTATATAAATATTCTTTAAAATCAGGAATCATAAATCTTTTCTTGGACTTCAGTTTTCACTACAGGCTCTGATCCAGCCTCTATTTTTATGTAAATGTATGTTTAATTGTAGGTAGCTGTTTAATCTCTAGTAGATTCAATAGTTACCTAAAATGAAGTGGACCTGAGCATGTGCTGAATGTGGCACAACAATTTTGCTTGCTACTTTTAAATCTTTACATGATTAATCTTCCAATTTTCAACAGACACCATTATATCAGAATATATGAGAATATTTACTGTGTATACCTGGCCCTGTGGCTATCATCAATTATAGCCTTTGTATGTAAGCTAATGAGAGAAGGAGAGCTTTTATCTGAAAATGATCTGAAGGGTATCAGGAGGCCTGCTTAAGTTTGTTCTACTTACATGTTGCACAAAGGATATTCCTTTGAAACAGTTATCAGAAGACATTGGATTAACTACTATAGAAGGGTCAGCCAGTTGATTATTTTTACCTCTGGCTTCAACTCTGTTTCAAATCGTAAGTGAAAACTGGCTTATAGCTCTTATTCAAGTCTACCTTGGACATTACTCCAAACCATGAAGGCATCAGTTCAGGACGGGTAAGTATTCTGGGCTGGTGAAAAGACTTGGCTAGCGTAAAAGAGTTTGCAAGCTATGAGAGGAAAACTTAACCATACAATTCAAGTTAAACTTGTTGAATTATTCCTTTTACAAGCACTGATGTTTTGTAAAGGTGTTTGACAAGAATACCACAGGTATGAACACTTTCAAAATTTTGGGTTTCTTAACTTGCAGACCTACTTGCAACATTGAGGTGAAAATGTTTGTTGTTTAAACATGGAGAAAAAACCTGCTGCAATTGCACCTTGAGTTGTCACACCAACACAACTGGGGGCTTTAGGCAAAAGTGATCTTATATTGCATCAGTTCTTACTGATCTCTACTTCAATGACTGCTATGAGACTCCAGTTACATTATGCCTAGTCTCCTGAGATGCGATATTAACCACTGCAGCTGGTGGCAGGTCATGCATGAACTAAACAGCAGATAACAGAAGACTGCAAAAATAATAAAACGAGGTTTCATTGTAGAAGGTATTTTAGGGAAGGATTGCAAGGCTTGAAATTTGAGATCTGAAACCAAAGCCAAAGTTTTCGTAATGGCATCATGCACCTGACACCAGATTACAGCTTTGAAGTTTAATTGTCTGAATTCTTCAATTAAACTCTTTTGGGATTAAAGCAAGCATTCCTGGGCCATTTATTTTACATAGTGCTTTGCCTTTGCTGGAACTGCAGCATGTTTATCATTGTGAGAGGGTCTTCAGTGAAGTTGATAAAAAAAAAAGTTTTAATAAAATATTCATTAACATTAAAGCACAGGATAGTTGTATCCACTGTCATAGCTCTATGAAAAAGTGCAGACTGAGGGTGAACACCTGTGTGAAGAGCAGCATCTAATTGCTAAGACACATCTTTTAATAGAGACTGGCAGCAGAACTATTCAACTCTTCCCAGTTTGGTTTTGAGAGACCGTGTATTTCTGATTCAAGTGCCTGCTTTTTATACTCTGACACACACAATTATTTTCCAAAAATTTGTAGAAAATTGCAGTATTAAGGCTTTTAACAGGAATCTCATGAAAAAGTTGTAGGAGCTTCCCGAACAGTCCATCAGCCCTAGAGAAATGAACTATTGCTGACAGCTGTTGTCAGCTATAGATTCCCCACTCACCTGTCCTCAGCTGCTGTTGAAATGAGTTTAGTTCTTCGTATAGATGGGACAGCACAGCGTTGTTAAGAAAAGCATGATAGGCCACATTCAACCAAGTTTCATTCATAGTACCTGTAATTGTGTTGAAAACTACTCTGTGCTAAAAGCTAAATCATTTTCAGCAGCAGATGAAGAGGAGGTTATAGAGACTCTCTGCTGACAGCTGCTGATTTGTCTCCTTTTTTAAGTGTCAGCGGACTCAAACTGGCAAAGAGGAAACTGCTGTTTTTCACAGTTTTCAAAACTTGAATCTTCTCTGTGTTTTTGTAAGTAATAATATGGTAATAATAATAAAACCCTACTATTAAATAGTGCTTAATGTAAAGATGAACAACTTCTATGCTTTACTACTTTAGATAAAGACACTATTTAATAGATGTATGTTTTGTTAGTCTCCTGGATTACTGCCCAGAGGGATGTGCATGCTTCTGATTTTAGGCTAATATAATTGCATTTCATTCCTATATATTTTTCCTATGCCTGCTGCACAAGCACTCTAATTATAAATCCCTGATTACTTTTACTTACTGTTTTCCAGTTTTTCGGAAAAAATGAAAACGGAAAAAACAAATTCGTAAGATTGCAAAAATTTGCAAACCCAAACAGCACACTATTACCAAACCATTCATTTTTCAGCCTGATCTCCCAAGATACACATCTCTCTAAACTGTGATTAATTCCATGGGCACTCAGCACCTTACATGATAAGAACCTATGTAATTAAGGCAACAATCTGAGTAAAGCACTTAAACATATGCTTAAATCTGTCCTTACTCAGGTCAGTTTGTAAGCACATCCCAGTGGGACACAAATGTGTTTTTGAAGTGCTTTGCTAAATAGGAATACTTCTTTGATTTGAGTCCCTAAGTAAGACACTTGAAATCAAAAGAACTGCTAGAATTTATGCCTTAAAAAAAGGTTATCCCTATTTAGGAAATCATTTAAACATACACTTACAGTTGATCATGCATTGATGGATTGTTTTGCTTTTCCTTTTACCAATAAATAAATAAATAACCCAACTAAGTAGAATTCTTGTTCCTAAAGATTTTATTATCTTGAAGGCTTTTGATGTGAAGCATTTAAGTCATGCTTTTTTTTCAATTTGAGGTTCCATTGTCGTTGAGAAATGTCAATCAAATATCAGATGTATTCGAATAACAATATGCCTGAAAATCTTTAGCAGCGTCCTATTAATGGAAAAATAATTCCAACATCTGTGATTTATACATATGTATGTACAGAGAATTTTGCTGGGGTTTTTTTTATGGTTTTACCATAAAACAACTGAAACATATTTGCTGTATTAAAAAAGTGTAAGATGTGTTTATCTTCAGTTCCAGTATTTAAAATACTGCAAATAGGGTTTTTTAATGCATTTTGCTGTTATTATTATTAGATGCATCAAAAAGAGTAATACTTAAGACTTGCATGGAGGGTCTTTTAAATAATTTGACTCCAAGGTAGGTTGTAAGTAATGTGTACTTTACGGAATATGTTTAGTGCTGTTTAAAAATATTTTGAAAATAAAAGCAGTTGTTCACAATGCAGAAGTGGCTGTGACTGAACCTGTGGTGTGCAGTTTTCCAGTGGGAATATCAGGAGTCAGATTTGCAACAGCTACTGTAGATAGGATTTCAGTTTCATGCACTGGGTGCCACATGTA